TCTCAGCTCCTCGGTAAACCAGGGAGCCAATCGAGATCTACGTCGGGTCAGAGGCCGCAAAGGCACGACTCGTGGACTTCAACTCCCAGAATTCCTGAGCCAGCCATGCTGAGGGGAAGGGGAGAGGTTTCCAAGCTGAGCCATGTTGGCTCAGGAATTCTGGGAGTTGAAGTCCACCAGTCATAAAAGAGCCAAGGTTGCCTACCCCCATAGGCAGACTTTGGAGTGCACGTGGCTGGGTGCACCACACCTTGGCGAATCAGTAAGACGGTCGTATGAGGTTAGGCTACTGCAGGGGTCTTCAAATCTGGCCCTTTTATGACTCGTGGACTTCAACTCCCAGAATTCCTGAGCCAGCCATGCTGAGGGGAAAGGGAGAGATTTCCAAGCTGAGCCATGCCGGCTCAGGAATTCTGGGAGTTGAAGTCCACAAGTCATAAAAGAGCCAAGGTTGCCTACCCCTAGAATAGTCACTAAACAAATGTTTGAAAGTTGAGGATTGCCTGTACATTCATATATTTATATACACATAAACCCCATTACAGTTCTATCTACATAATCTTTAGGTTATGTATTCTTCCCACCAGCCTTCTGTCCAATCTTCATTGTACATCTTGTGACCGCCGCGTTCTGTCACACATTGTCACACCCTGTGTGACTTCAGCTGCCTTTTCACCCTGGTGGGTTCAACACCCAGATGCTGGGTGAGTGAACTTTCTTATCTCCACTTGCTGTTTCAGAGTTGATTTCCTGATCTCTTCAACTTGCTTGCTCCTGTTCATGTTCTCCTCCTCGTCCCGGGTCAAAATGTTATCCTTCTGTCTCCATCTCACAACATTTTAGGTCATTCTTGTGAGACTAAGGCTCTCCTAATTCAAGCAGAGGGTCAACCTAGAATGAAGGGGAAAATTTCTGACGGTGGGAACAGTTAATCAGTGGAACGACTTGCCTCCAGAAGTTGTGGGTGCACCAACCCTGGAGGTTTTTTAAGAAAAAGTTGCACAAACATTTGTCTGAAACGGTGTAGGGTCTCCTAGGTTGGACTAGAAGACCTCCAAGGTCCCCCCCCAACTCTGTTAGTCTGTTAAGTTGCAAATCTCCTGTTCAGTGGGGCAGCTGCAATGTTATTTTCAAAAAAATCCTTCCCTGCAGGGAGACTTCGGATTCACCCGGTCCATCCAAGGTTCCCGTAGGAAGATGGTGCAAAAAAATGTGACGAACAGTGACCTTCCATCCTGGCACACCAACAGGAATGCTTCTTTGTGAATTCAGCCTCTCCGGAGCCCGCAACATCTGGATTGCACGCCCAGCAATTCCTGGATGCATCTGGAGCTGACCTCTTCAAACCAGGTTGAACTCTTCCAAGTAGCTTGCTAGGACGGCGTCCTTGATATCCGCAAAAACCGTGCAGATGTTCTGCGTGTCGGTGGCACAGGTGTAATGGTGATAAAGGAACCGGGGTCTGAAGGAAGAAAGGGAACCGCCAGAAAGAGGCCCGTCAAGGAACTGATGGAAGATGTCACTGTACATCTCCAGGATAAAGCCTTTGGCCGCGTGAACGTCTCGCTTGGGACCTAAGGAAGGAGAAGGAGAACAGGTTGTGTGAATCAGCAGGCCCCACTGGTTTGAAAGAGGGGTCAAAGAGGCCATCTAGGTCAAAACTAAACAGCCCTCTCTCAACAGAGGGGGAGGGATATGACACCATCCATCTCCAGTCTGCAACACGGTCCTTTCAGCAGTTCCAAGAAGGCTCCACACCCATTTGCACCACTCAAGTGACCCTGAGGCCACAGGTAAGCCTCCAAGTCAGGGCTTTTCAACCTTTTCACCGATTGTACCACTTTTAGAATATGGCAATATTCAAGTATCACCAGTCGCCTAGCAAGGTGTCAAAAACTTGATGACCAAAACAAAATGGAAAAAAGTACAGGTAGTCCTCACCCCCCTTTAATGTCCTCTCTTCTCTCATCCCCTTTAATATCCTCTCTTCTCTCATCCCCTTTAATATCCTCTCTTCCCTCACCCCCTTTAATATCCTCTCTTCTCTCACCCCCTTTAATATCCTCTCTTCTCTCACCCTCTTTAATATCCTCTCTTCTCTCACCCCCTTTAATATCCTCTCTTCTCTCACCCCCTTTAATATCCTCTCTTCCCTCACCCCCTTTAATATCCTCTCTTCTCTCCCCTTCAGCAGGACCCAGGCAATGCCTTGCGCAGCTCCAGCTGAATCTCTGCCTGAAGACTGTGCGAGGCTGCCTGCCACTCCCAATCGGCTGGAGCTGCGCGCGCCGATCCTGGGCTCTCCGCAGGACCCAGGCAGGCAATGCCTCCTGCAGCTCCAGCTGAATCTCTGCCTGAAGACTGCGTGAGGCCGCCTGCCATCCCCAATCAGCTGGAGCTGCGCGCGCCGATCCTAGGCTCTCAGCAGGACCCAGGCAATGTGTCGCGCAGCTCCAGCTGAATCTCCACCTGAAGACTGCGTGAGGCTGCCTGCCACCCCCAGGCCGCCAGCAATCAGCTGGAGCTGCGCGCTTTGATCCTGGGCTCTCAGTAGGACCCAGGCAACGTGCAGTTCCAGCTGACTTTCCCACAAGCCTGTGCGGCGCTGCTGCGCTTCACCTCATCCACTTTTACACTTTTTTTACGTTGTTTTTTTTACAGTGCTGTTCAACCCGTCATACACGTACCACCTGCCAGGTGCCAACGTACCACTAATGGTACGCGTACCACCGGTTGAAAAGCCCTGATTCAAGTGGCCTCAACGACTCTCTAAAAGGATACAAATGACCAGCTGTCTGCAAGGAGTATAAATCCTTCCGTTCCCCACCCTCCAGTCAGAGCTGAGGAAGCTTCTTGGAGGAGAAGCAAAACGTCTTCCAAGAAAAAACAAGAAAGTCCAGTTGCCTCGTCAAAAAGCATCTTTGGGATAACCTGGATTAGATTGTTTCGTCGCTGCACATCAGGGAATGTAGGCATCATTGTTTGGAGAGAGTTGCATAGCCTTTTCATTTACAGGTAGTCCTCGACTTACGACCACAATTGAGCCCAACATGTTCCTTGCTAAGCGAGACAGTCCTTAAATTAGTTTTGCCCCTAGTAAGGCTGCCTTTTACAATTGACTAATGGCAAATTTGTCAATGCCAATGATGGTGTTCAAGTGGTGCTCCAGTTGTTTTGGGATTGCACCCAAGGCGCCTATTACTATTGGTACTACCTTTGCTTGCTTTTGCCACAGTCTTTCTATTTCTATTTGTAGGTCTTTGTATTTTGTTATCTTCTCCAGTTCTTTCTCGTCTATTCTGCTGTCTCCAGGCACTGCCATGTCCACTATCCAGACTTTTTTGTCTTTCTTATCGACAATTGTTAAGTCCGGGGTGTTATGTTGTAGGTGCTTGTCTGTTTTTGAATTCTGAAGTCCCAGAGCAGTTTAACTTTATCGTGTTCTATGACTTTCTCTATTTTATGATCCCACCACTTCTTGCTTAAAGGCAAATGATATTTCTTGCAGAATAATAATAATAATAATAATAATAATAATAATAATAAAAATCATTGCACAATCAGCCAGATGTTCAAACTGGATTTGGCATTTTTGTCTACCTATCGAGTCCTTCCCAAGGACCTGGGAGAGGCAGATGTGGATGTTTGATGGTATTACAGATATCATCGCAGGATGGAAGCAGTTCCTAGTAAGGCCGCCTTTTGCAATTGACTAATGGCGAATTTGTCAATGCCGATGATGGTGTTCAAGTGGTGTTCCAGTTGTTTTGGGTGCACCCAAGGGCTATTATTATTATTATTATTATTATTATTATTATTATTATTATTATTATTATTATTATTATTATTATTATTATTATTATTATTATTATTATTATTATTATCTGACCATTGCTTAGTCTGCAGCGCCTCCTTCTCACTCCCAACATCCCGTGTCTCTTCAGAGAGACATCTGTGTTTTTTTCTCTAGATGGAACACAAGCCACACAAAAAAGGAAATTAACCGGAGGGAATATTTGTAGCTGAGGGTTGAACTGTGGGATTCTGGGTGCTGTCTGAGCTGGCTTGTTTTCTTGCAGATGTTTCATCAGACATGCCCTGATGATGTTACCTAGCTGGGTGATGAAATATCCACAAGAAAACAACCAAGCTCAGGAGATTTCGCAGAAGGGGAAATAGAAAGCACACCCATCAACCTTTTATTGATTTCCTAATTTTACATTTAAGTCTTTAAAAAGCAACATGGCGGCTGGGTTAACCGACAATTCGATAACATACAAAAATTTCTTTAACAGAAATCTCAAAGTACCACATTAAATCTTGCCTCTCTTTTCCCCTTAGCATTTGCTGCCTCATATTTAAACTAATGCAATTCTTA